ATTCATCTACCATTGACTGTGAGCAGACAGACAACAGATATACATCAAACATACATCTATCATTGATTGTGGACTAACAGATAGCAGATATACACCAGACACCACACATTAGTACATTTCTAGTTTCAATAAAACACTTTTCACCACACATCATAATACCTACACAAAACTTACTAAATACCCCCACACATATACAACTTATTGCAATACCTCCCCACGCACACATATCTCAACAAACCCCCCCCCCCCCCCCAAACCTTTCCAGACAACTTACCACAATGCCCCAAACATATATAAATTACTACAATGCCAACATACACACAACTTACCATATTGCTCCCACACAACTTACCACAATATCCACTCTTCACAAACAACTTACCCCAATGCTCCTATATACATATTATGAATTAATCAAGTAACAGAAAGTATTGTAAACGGCACTCATAGAAAGAAGTAGAAAGATAGAAGAACACAAGACAACATAAAAATCGAAAGCTATAGTTACCGTGCCGGGAATTGAACCTGTCACCTCCAGACGGCGTCTTGATTTTTATGTTGTCTAGTGTGTTCTTCTATCTTTCTACTTCTTTCTATGAGTGCCGTTCACAATACTTTCTGTTACTTGATTAATTCATAATATTTAACGGCCTCAAATGGTTCCCCCCTCTGTTTATTAATAGGAATGATCCTATATACATAACTTACCACAATGCCTCCCACATACACACAAACCTTGCTAAAATGTCTCTCACACACACAATCTACCATAATGCTCCCACACATAAATTACCACAATACTCACCAACAACCTACCATAATGCCCCCACCCCCTTCCACATACACAACTTACCCAATGCACCCCACCCCCTCCAAACCCCCTAGCTTACCACACATGTCAAAATGTCCAAACAAAACTTAATACAATGCCCCCCTCCACACAAACAACTTACCACAATGCCCAAACACAAGTTACCATAATGCACCCCACTCACACACAAGTTACCACAATGCCCCCCTCCACACACCTTACCACAATGCCCCCCCCCACACTTTACCACAATGCCCCCCTACACACCTTACCCAATGCCGCCTCTCCACACAACTTACCACAATGCCCCCCTACACTTACCACAATGCCCCCCCCCACACACACAACTTTACCACAATGCCCCCTTCCACACACCTTACCACAATGCCCCCTTAAAACACCTTACCACAATGCCCCCACACACACAACTTACCAAAATGCCCCACACCACACTTACCACAATGCCCCCACACACACAACTTACCAAAATGCCCTCCCCCACCTTACCACAATGCCCCCACACACACAACTTACCACAATGCTCCACAAACACAACTTACCACAATGCCCCCACACACACAACTTACCACAATGCCCTCCCCCACCTTACCACAATGCCCCCACACACACAACTTACCACAATGCCCCCACACACACAAATTACCACAATGCCCCCACACACACACAACTTACCACAATGTTCCCACACACACAACTTACCACAATGCCCCCCACACACACAACTTACCACAATGCCCCCACACACACAACTTACCACAATGCCCCCACACACACAAATTACCACAATGCCCACACACACACACACAACTTACCACAATGCCCCCCAACCACACACAACTTACCACAATACCCCCCACACACACAACTTACCACAATGCCCCCACACACACAACTTACCACAATGAATCCACACACACCACAAGGCCACCAAACACACAACTTACCACAATGCCCCCACACACACAACTTACCACAATGCCCCCCACACACACAACTTACCACAATGCCCCCACACACACAACTTACCACAATGCCCCCACACACACAACTTACCACAATGCCCCCACACACATACAACTTACCACAATGCCCATCATCCACACACACAATGCCCCCACACACACAACTTACCACAATGCCCCCACACACACAACTTACCACAATGCCCTCCCCGACCTTACCACAATGCCCCCACACACACACAACCTACACAATGCCCCCACACACACAACTTACCACAATGCCCCAACACACACAAATTACCACAATGCCCCCACACACACAACTTACCACAATGCCCCCCCCCCAACCACACACACCACAATGCCCCCACACACACAACTTACCACAATGCCCCAACACACACAACTTACCACAATGCCCCTACACACACAACTTACCACAATGCCTCCACACACACAACTTAACACAATGCCCCCACACACACAACTTACCACAATGCCCCCACACACACAACTTACCACAATGCCCCTACACACACAACTTACCACAATGCCTCCACACACACAACTTAACACAATGCCCCAACACACACAACTTACCACAATGCCCCCACACACACAACTTACCACAATGCCCCCACACACACAACTTACCACAATGCCCCTACACACACAACTTACCACAATGCCCCCACACACACAACTTAACTCAATGCCCCCACACACACAACTTACCACAATGCCCCCACACACACAACTTACCACAATGCCCCCACACACACAACTTACCACAATGCCTTCCTGAGCTTGGATTTCTGCAGGAGTTTCTGCAGCTTGGTTGAGCAACTGAAGCATGATGGGAAGGAAATCACTGTACTTGGCATCACTGTTGATACTGGAGAGGAAGAGAGAGAGAGAGACTATCATGTTCAGTGTCTAGTGGTGCCATTATAATCAACTGCTGATGCGATAGAAAAGACAGACAGACAGAGAGTAAGAGAGAGAAGGGGGGGAGAGACAGAGGGGAGAGAGAGAGAGGGAGAGAAAGGGGGGGGCATCTTGTTTAGTGTCTAGTGTACCAATACCATCCTGTAGATACAAGAGAGAGAGAGGGGGGAGGAAGAGATCATCATGTTCAGTGTCTAGTGTACCAATATCATCCTGTAGATAAGAGAGAGAGAGAGGGGGAAGAGATCATCATGTTCAGTGTCTAGTGTACCAATATCATCCTGTAGATAAGAGAGAGAGAGGGGAGGAAGAGATCATCATGTTCAGTGTCTAGTGGTACCAATATCATCCTGTAGATAAGAGAGAGAGAGGGGAGGAAGAGATCATCATGTTCAGTGTCTAGTGTACCAATATCATCCTGTAGATAAGAGAGAGAGGGGAGGAAGAGATCATCATGTTCAGTGTCTAGTGTACCAATATCATCCTGTGGATAAGAGAGAGAGAGGGGAGGAAGAGATCATCATGTTCAGTGTCTAGTGTACCAATACCATCCTGTAGATACAAGAGAGAGAGAGGGGGGGAGGAAGAGATCATCATGTTCAGTGTCTAGTGTACCAATATCATCCTGTAGATAAGAGAGAGAGGGGGGAGGAAGAGATCATCATGTTTAGTGTCTAGTGTACCAATACCATCCTGTAGATACAAGAGAGAGAGAGGGGGGAGGAAGAGATCATCATGTTCAGTGTCTAGTGGTACCAATACCATCCTGTAGATAAGAGAGAGAGAGGGGGGAGGAAGAGATCATCATGTTCAGTGTCTAGTGGTACCAATATCATCCTGTAGATAAGAGAGAGAGGGGAGGAAGAGATCATCATGTTCAGTGTCTAGTGTACCAATACCATCCTGTAGATAAGAGAGAGAGGGGGGAGGAAGAGATCATCATGTTCAGTGTCTAGTGGTACCAATATCATCCTGTAGATAAGAGAGAGAGGGGGGAGGAAGAGATCATCATGTTCAGTGTCTAGTGGTACCAATACCATCCTGTAGATAAGAGAGAGAGAGAGGGGAGGAAGAGACAATCATGTTCAGTGTCTAGTGGTACCAATATCATCCTGTAGATAAGAGAGAGAGAGAGAGGGGGAAGAGATCATCATGTTCAGTGTCTAGTGTACCAATATCATCCTGTAGATAAGAGAGAGAGAGGGGGGAGGAAGAGATCATCATGTTCAGTGTCTAGTGGTACCAATATCATCCTGTAGATAAGAGAGAGAGAGGGGAGGAAGAGATCATCATGTTCAGTGTCTAGTGTACCAATATCATCCTGTAGATAAGAGAGAGAGAGAGGGGAGGAAGAGACAATCATGTTCAGTGTCTAGTGGTACCAATATCATCCTGTAGATAAGAGAGAGAGAGGGGGGGAAGAGATCATCATGTTCAGTGTCTAGTGGTACCAATATCATCCTGTAGATAAGAGAGAGAGAGGGGAGGAAGAGACAATCATGTTCAGTGTCTAGTGGTACCAATATCATCCTGTAGATAAGAGAGAGAGAGAGGGGGGGAAGAGATCATCATGTTCAGTGTCTAGTGGTACCAATATCATCCTGTAGATAAGAGAGAGAGAGGGGAGGAAGAGATCATCATGTTCAGTGTCTAGTGGTACCAATATCATCCTGTAGATAAGAGAGAGGGGGGAGGAAGAGATCATCATGTTCAGTGTCTAGTGCTATAACTATAATCATTATTGATACTAGAAAGAGACAGAGAGAAAGATACATAGACAGATGGAGAGGAAGACACAGAGACAGAGATGGAGAGGAAGATACACGACACAGAAAGAACATCATGGTTAGTGTCTAGAGAGGAAAAAAACTAACCATCGCTGTAACATATGGACACCAATACACACTGAGACATACACAGTCACGTATGCAGAGACACACATACAGACACCCACACACACAGACACACTCATACACACACACACACTGAGACACACATATAGACACACACACATCCACACACCTAAATACATACATTTGTACATACACCCATGCATACATACACACACATACATACATACTCATGCACACACATACACATAAAAAAATAGAGAGAGAGAAGCTAATTCTGTAAAATGACAAAGAGAGACAGAGAGAGATTGAGACAGAGTAAAATAATAACACAGAGAGAGAGAGAGAGAGAGAGAGAGAGAGAGAGAGAGAGAGAGAGAGAGAGACTAAAAGGAATGACATGCCCACCTGGTGCCAATGAGCTGTAGCAGAGCTGCTTTAATGCCAGGATGAGACAGCAAGTAGGCCAACAGGTTGAGTGTCTTGGCTGTATGAATAGATACAGTTCTGACTGCTGTCATGTCATCATCAGCCTCTGTCTGCAGCTCTCCCTGGGCTGTCTGTGTGGGCTTCTTGGGCTTCAAGTTCAGCATCAAGATGTCAAGCAATATCCTGGGGAAATGGGTTCAAACAATGAGGGGCTGGCTCAAACATTCCAGTCTGTGACCACCACAAACGAGAAGAAAGAGTTGTCAATCACTACGGCTGGTTCTTACATTTGACATATCAAAATCATAGCACTCAGGATACCCCCATAAGCGCTCCGTCCCCATCTTCAGCTCCAAGCAAAGAGTTCAAATTCCAATGGTACCAGTAACTGTCTGATTGTATATTGGTCTCGCCTTTTCCTTGAATGCTGAGCTCCTCTGGTAACTGCCTGCAGCACTATTCTCCTCAGAATGTAATGATCTATATGTGCCTCCGCACTGTTTACTTGCCCCCAAAAGGCCCTCACAACATCTAGTTTGTCGTACATCAGTTCACCACCAAATGGGGTTTGTTTCTCAACACACTGACATGACCTGGAGAAAATATCCAAAGGAGGTTAACTACCCGGGACCTCTGAAGTGATGCTTGCCACTCTGCACAGAGTTTGCCAGTCTCCATCTTTCTCAACATGCTCTTGGAGTCACTCGCAATTATGAAGATAGGTGAGCTGACAGATGTATGTACATACAAGACAAGTAAGCTGACAGATGTATGTACATACAAGACAGGTGAGCTGACAGATGTATGTACATTAAAGACAGGTTAGCTGACAGATGTATGTACATACAAGATAGGTGAGCTGACAGATGTATGTACATACAAGATAGGTGAGCTGACAGATGTATGTACATACAAGACAGGTGAGCTGACAGATGTATGTACATACAAGACAGGTGAGCTGACAGATGTATGTACATACAAGACAAGTGAGCTGACAGATGTATGTACATACAAGACAGGTGAGCTGACAGATGTATGTACATAAAAGACAGGTTAGCTGACAGATGTATGTACATACAAGACAAGTGAGCTGACAGATGTATGTACATACAAGATAGGTGAGCTGACAGATGTATGTACATACAAGACAAGTGAGCTGACAGATGTATGTACATACAAGACAAGTGAGCTGACAGATGTATGTACATACAAGACAAGTGAGCTGACAGATGTATGTACATACAAGATAGGTGAGCAGACAGATGTATGTACATAAAAGATAGGTGAGCTGACAGATGTATGTACATACAAGATAGGTGAGCAGACAGATGTATGTACATATAAGATAGGTGAGCTGACAGATGTATGTACATACAAGACAAGTGAGCTGACTCATGATGTGGAAACCTACTTGGTGATCCTGAGAGATGACGGTGCAGCAAGGTCAGCAATTTGCCAGCAAACTCGTCGCATGAGATGCTGCAACGGCTGACAGCCTGTGCCGGACAGAGTGTCTAGCACAGCAAACAATTCTGGGGTGGCAGACTGCAGGTGGACACTCCAGAGTTTTCTGGCCATGACAGCTGCATCCATTTCCTCATCAGTCAGTGGCTGTTTCAGATAAAATGTCACATCTGTCAGTAGCTGTTTCAGACAACACATCACATTTGTCAGTGGCTGTTTCAGACAACATGTCACATCTGTCAGTGGCTGTTTCAGATAAAATGTCACATCAGTCAGTAGCTGTTTCAGACAACATATCACATTTGTCAGTGGCTGTTTCAGACAACATGTCACATCTGTCAGTGGCTGTTTCAGGCAACATGTCACATTTATCAGTAGCTGTTTCAGACAACATGTCACATCTGTCAGTGGCTGTTTCAGACAACATGTCAGATCTGTCAGTAGCTGTTTCAGATAACATGTCACATCTGTCAGTAGCTGTTTCAGACAACATATCACATTTGTCAGTGGCTGTTTCAGACAACATGTCACATCTGTCAGTAGCTGTTTCAGACAACATTTCACATTTATCAGTAGCTGTTTCAGACAACATGTCACATCTGTCAGTGGCTGTTTCAGACAACATGTCACATCTGTCAGTAGCTGTTTCAGACAACATGTCATATCTGTCAGTGGCTGTTTCAGACAACATGTCACATTTGTCAGTGGCTGTTTCAGACAACTTGTCACTTCTGTCAATGGCTGTTCAGACAACATGTCACATCTGTCAGTGGCTGTTTCAGATAACATGTCACATCAATCAGTGAATGTTTCAGACAACATGTCACATCTGTCAGTAGCTGTTTCAGACAACATGTCACATCTGTCAGTGGCTGTTTCAGATAACATGTCACATCAACCAGTGAATGTTTCAGACAACATGTCACATCTGTCAGTAGCTGTTTCAGACAACTTGTCACATCTGTCAATGGCTGTTCAGACAACATGTCACATCTGTCAGTGGCTGTTTCAGATAACATGTCACATCAATCAGTGAATGTTTCAGACAACATGTCACATCTGTCAGTAGCTGTTTCAGACAACATGTCACATTTGTCAGTGGCTGTTTCAGACAACTTGTCACATCTGCCAATGGCTGTTCAGACAACACGTCACATCTGTCAGTGGCTGTTTCAGATAACATGTCACACCAATCAGTGAATGTTTCAGACAACATGTCACATCTGTCAGTGGTTATTTCAGACAAAATGTCATAACCTGTCACTGGTTGTTCCAGACAAAATGTCATGTTTCAGACAAAATGTCATGTTTCAGACAAAATGTCACACCAGTCTGTGCCTGTTTCAGACAACAAGTCACATCAGACAACACTGAAGTACAACAATTTCCCCATACATGCTGCAGTACAATAATCCCCCATCCCAGCTGCGGTACAATAATCCCCCCTTCCCAGCTGCGGTACAATAATCCCCCCTTCCCAGCTGCGGTACAATAATCCCCCCTCCCAGCTGCGGTACAATAATACCCCCTCCCAGCTGCAGAACAATAATTCCCCCCTTCCCCATACACGCTGTAGAACAATAATTTCCCCCTTCCCCATACACGCTGTAGAACAATAATTCCCCCCTTCCCCATACACGCTGTAGAACAATAATTTCCCCAACCCTGCTGTAGAACAATAATTTTCCCAACCCTGCTGAAGAACAATAATTTCCCCAACCCTGCTGTAGAACCAATAACTTACAATCTATATGTATGACAGATGACACAAACCATAACAGACTTGGTGTCTAGAGGAACAATCTATATGTGTGACAGATGACACAAACCAATAACTTACAGACTTGGTGTGTAGAGGAACAATCTATATGTATGACAGATGACACAAACCAATAACTTACAGACTTGGTGTGTAGAGGAACAATCTATATGTATGACAGATGACACAAACCAATCACTTACAGACTTGGTGTGTAGAGGAACAATCTATATGTGTGACAGATGACACAAACCAACAACTTACAATCTATATGTATGACAGATGACACAAACCAATAACAGACTTGGTGTGTAGAGGAACAATCTATATGTATGACAGATGACACAAACCAATAACTTACAATCTATGTGTATGACAGATGACACAAACCAATAACAGACTTGGTTTGTAGAGGAACAATCTATATGTATGACAGATGACACAAACCAACAACTTACAATCTATATGTATGACAGATGACACAAACCAATAACAGACTTGGTGTGTAGAGGAACAATCTATATGTATGACAGATGACACAAACCAATAACTTACAATCTATATGTATGACAGATGACACAAACCAATAACAGACTTGGTGTGTAGAGGAACAATCTATATGTATGACAGATGACACAAACCAATAACTTACAATCTATATGTATGACAGATGACATAAACCAATAACAGACTTCGTGTGTAGAGGAACAATCTATTTGTATGACAGATGACACAAAACAATAACTTTCAAAATATATGTATGACAGATGACATAAACCAATAACATACTTTGTGTGTAGAGGAACAATATATATATATGACAGATGACACAAGCCAATAACTTACAATCTATATGTATGACAGATGACACAAACCAATAACATACTTTGTGTGTAGAGGAACAATCTATATGTATGACAGATGACACAAACCAATAACTCACAGGCTTGGTGTGTAGTGAAACAATCTATATGTATGACAGATGACACAAACCAATAACTTACAGACTTGGTGTGTAGTGAAACAATCTATATGTATGACAGATGACACAAACCAATAACTTACAGACTTGGTGTGTAGTTGGAACAATCTATATGTATGACAGATGACACAAACCAATAACTTACAGACTTGGTGTGTAGTTGGAACAATCTATATGTATGACAGATGACACAAACCAATAACTTACAGACTTGGTGTGTAGTTGGAACAATCTATATGTATGACAGATGACACAAACCAATAACTTACAGACTTGGTGTGTAGTTGGAACAATCTATATGTATGACAGATGACACAAACCAAGAACTTACAGACTTGGTGTGTAGTTGGAACAATCTATATGTATGACAGATGACACAAACCAATAACTTACAGACTTGGTGTGTAGAGTAACAATCTATATGTATGACAGATGACACAAACCAATAACTTACAGACTTGGTGTGTAGAGTAACAATCTATATGTATGACAGATGACACAAACCAATAACTTACAGACTTGGTGTGTAGTTGGAACAATCTATATGTATGACAGATGACACAAACCAATAACTTACAGACTTGGTGTGTAGTTGGAACAATCTATATGTATGACAGATGACACAAACCAATAACTTACAGACTTGGTGTGTAGTTGGAACAATCTATATGTATGACAGATGACACAAACCAATAACTTACAGACTTGGTGTGTAGTTGGAACAATCTATATGTATGGCAGATGACACAAACCAATAACTTACAGACTTGGTGTGTAGTTGGAACAATCTATATGTATGGCAGATGACACAAACCAATAACTTACAGACTTGGTGTGTAGTTGGAACAATCTATATGTATGATAGATGACACAAACCAATAACTTACAGACTTGGTGTGTAGTGAAACAATCTATATGTATGACAGATGACACAAACCAAGAACTTACAGACTTGGTGTGTAGTTGGAACAATCTATATGTATGACAGATGACACAAACCAATAACTTACAGACTTGGTGTGTAGTTGGAACAATCTATATGTACGACAGATGACACAAACCAATAACTTACAGACTTGGTGTGTAGTTGGAACAATCTATATGTACGACAGATGACACAAACCAATAACTTACAGACTTGGTGTGTAGTTGGAACAATCTATATGTATGACAGATGACACAAACCAATAACTTACAGACTTGGTGTGTAGTTGGAACAATCTATATGTATGACAGATGACACAAACCAATAACTTACAGACTTGGTGTGTAGTTGGAACAATCTATATGTATGACAGATGACACAAACCAATAACTTACAGACTTGGTGTGTAGTGAAACAATCTATATGTATGACAGATGACACAAACCAAGAACTTACAGACTTGGTGTGTAGTTGGAACAATCTATATGTACGACAGATGACACAAACCAATAACTTACAGACTTGGTGTGTAGTTGGAACAATCTATATGTACGACAGATGACACAAACCAATAACTTACAGACTTGGTGTGTAGTTGGAACAATCTATATGTACGACAGATGACACAAACCAATAACTTACAGACTTGGTGTGTAGTTGGAACAATCTATATGTATGACAGATGACACAAACTAATAACTTACAGACTTGGTGTGTAGTTGGAACAATCTATATGTATGACAGATGACACAAACCAATAACTTAAGACTTGGTGTGTAGTTGGAACAATCTATATGTATGATAGATGACACAAACCAATAACTTACAGACTTGGTGTGTAGTTGGAAACAATCTATATGTATGACAGATGACACAAACCAATAACTTACAGACTTGGTGTGTAGTTGAAACAATCTATATGTATGACAGATGACACAAACCAATAACTTACAGACTTGGTGTGTAGTTGGAACAATCTATATGTATGACAGATGACACAAACCAATAACTTACAGACTTGGTGTGTAGTGAAACAATCTATATGTATGACAGATGACACAAACCAATAACTTACAGACTTGGTGTGTAGTTGGAACAATCTATATGTATGACAGATGACACAAACCAATAACTTACAGACTTGGTGTGTAGTTGGAACAATCTATATGTATGAGAGATGACACAAACCAATAACTTACAGACTTGGTGTGTAGTTGGAACAATCTATATGTATGACAGATGACACAAACCAATAACTTACAGACTTGGTGTGTGTAGTGTATGACACACAAACCAATCTATATGTATGTATGGCAGATGACACAAACCAATAACTTACAGACTTGGTGTGTAGTGAAACAATCTATATGTATGGCAGATGACACAAACCAATAACTTACAGACTTGGTGTGTAGAGGAACAATCTATATGTATGATAGATGCCACAAACCAATAACTTACAGACTTGGTGTGTAGAGGAACAATCTATATGTATGATAGATGCCACAAACCAATAACTTACAGACTTGGTGTGTAGAGGAACAATCTATATGTATGATAGATGACACAAACCAATAACTTACAGACTTGGTGTGTAGAGGAACAATCTATATGTATGACTGATGACACAAACCAATAACTTACAGACTTGGTGTGTAGAGGAACAATCTATATGTATGACTGATGACACAAACCAATAACTTACAGACTTGGTGTGTAGTTGGAACAATCTATATGTATGATAGATGACACAAACCAATAACTTACAGACTTGGTGTGTAGAGGAACAATCTATATGTATGACTGATGACACAAACCAATAACTTACAGACTTGGTGTGTAGAGGAACAATCTATATGTATGACTGATGCCACAAACCAATAACTTACAGACTTGGTGTGTAGAGGAACAATCTATATGTATGATAGATGACACAAACCAATAACTTACAGACTTGGTGTGTAGAGGAACAATCTATATGTATGACTGATGACACAAACCAATAACTTACAGACTTGGTGTGTAGTTGGAACAATCTATATGTATGGCAGATGACACAAACCAATAACTTACAGACTTGGTGTGTAGTTGGAACAATCTATATGTATGACAGATGACACAAACCAATAACTTACAGACTTGGTGTGTAGTTGGAACAATCTATGTGTATGACAGATGACACAAACCAATAACTTACAGACTTGGTGTGTAGTTGGAACAATCTATATGTATGACAGATGATACAAACCAATAACTTACAGACTTGGTGTGTTGTTGGAACAATCTATATGTATGACAGATGACACAAACCAATAACTTACAGACTTGGTGTGTAGTTGGAACAATCTATATGTATGGCAGATGACACAAACCAATAACTTACAGACTTGGTGTGTTGTTGGAACAATCTATATGTATGACAGATGACACAAACCAATAACTTACAGACTTGGTGTGTAGTTGGAACAATCTATATGTATGGCAGATGACACAAACCAATAACTTACAGACTTGGTGTGTAAAGGAAATGGCAATGGCAGTAGCTCTGAAAGAACCAGCAGGCCACTCATGTACGTGTATGGCGACTTGATGGTGTACTTCAGTAACTCCTTCAACATCAATGTCCATAGGCTTTTGCTGAGAGCTGAAAGTTCACATTAAACTTATCAATCTGAGATAACGAAACAGTGTTAATGTAACAGAATACAACAATGTGTCAATGTGAGAGAATACAACAAAGTGTCAATGTGACAGAATACAACAATGTGTCAATGTGACAGAATACAACAATGTGTCAATATGACAGAATATAACAATGTGTCAATGTGACAGAATATAACAATGTGTCAATGTGACAGAATATAACAATGTGTCAATGTGACAATAGGAATAAACTCACAGGGAGCAAGTACAGCGGGAATCTACCAGTCATCAGTAGAAATTATCCTCTGTCGACACACGTTTCGGCCCACGATTCCTAAACGTATTCGGAGGTGGGCCCACCTGAGTTCATGAAGCTCAGGGCTGGTTCCCAGCTGCACGGAATTACCGGATGGTGTTATTATTTCGGCCAGAGACAAGACGACTTGGTGGTTTCGAAGGAGGTACTGTGAGATAGGAAGCCGCCACGGCAGCTTAATTAGAACAGTCAGCGTGCCTGGACGACCGAGCGACAAGCTTATTTTGGTTTACCGGACACATGTTGGACTTTTATTAGCAGTTGGCAGAGGAACACTGGCAGACAATTCGGACACGATGGACTTTCAAAGGGATGAGAAACTCTTTTCCACTAGATACCCGGACCAGCTCACCGAGGCCCGTCCCCTACGTTGTTGCGCTGCGTCCAAAGCCAGCTAGAAGCCATTTCGGCCACCTCTCCCAGTTTTTTGAGTGTTCGTTTCCGTTCATTACCGCGCAATCCTAATTCTTTCACCACATTGTAGAGCGAAGTGGAAACGAGGCCTCTCGCTCCCACTTCGACGGCAAAAACCCGTACTGTGTAAGCCTCGTTTCTCCTCAAACTGGCTGCTAAATCACTGTACTTTTCGAGCTTGTACAAATGATTCTCCTCCATACGCGACTCAAACGGGACCGTCAACTCAATCAGGATGAGCTGCCGTTTTTGCGCAGAATGGAGAACGATGTCCGGTCGCAGGCCGGTTTTACGGATCAACTCGGGATACCGTTCATGTCCTGGCAGATCAACCGCCAGTAACCAGTCCCTCGCAGAGTCTAGTACAGATGGAGCGAATGCGTTTTTGTTGACCTTACCTTTTGGAACCTGCCCAGCCTTGAGGAAACGAATGGGGACGATACTAGAACTGGCTCTGGCATTAGCCCTCATTCTAGCCTGGTCGACAACGGCTGCTAACTCCTTTAGCACCTTGTTGTGGCGCCAGGTATAGCGGCCTTGACCTAGAGCTTTCCTGCACGCGGACAGGACGTGCTCAAGAGTTTGCTTTGATTTGCACAACGGGCAAGTCGGATCGTTGGTCGCAGACCATTTAACCATGTTAACACCGGACGGTAATACATCGTACGCCGAACGAACGATAAAGCTCAGTCGCAGCGGGGTCATCCGCCAGATCTCACCCCATGTGAGTATTCTAGGCAATGCGCTCTCCAGGCTGACCCAATGGCCCTGCTGCGACTGCTGGGCTGCTTTCTGGACCCGAACCTCGTTTGCGTTGTCCCTCACCGTTTGTATCACCATGTCTTGGCGTTCTTTGGCTGAGGCCTTTGACCACCAATTGACTTTCCCGTGCCCTAGGCCTCGACGGTCGGTTTGTGTGTAACCCATTATCTCCTTCAATTTTAGTGCGTTCTGAGCAGATTCTATCGCATCAAGGACCCTCCACTTCTGACCAGTCTTTAGAGCGGGCTGGACAGCGATGACATTTGGGTCTGAGGACTCGCGCAAAAGCATGGCGAGCCTAACTTTGCCGACTTTAAACTCTTCGGTTATTGACTTGAACGGAAGTACCAGCTTAGCCTGTTTGCAATACAGAGCCACGTCGGTCAGACAAGGCGGTGCGCCAATCCACTTTCTTAAGGCTGTGTTGATTTTCTTTTCCATGGTTTCCACTGCAGTCATCGTCACCTCGTAGACTAGCAGTGGCCATAGGAGCTTCGGAATCAACATGAATTGGAGACACCATACCTTGAATTTTCCGATCAGCCTGCATCGCTCGATCGCGAGCAGGCCTGTAGCCAGTGACTCATGTATTCGCCGGACTTCCGCTCTGTCAGATAACTTCGAATCGTAGACGCGACCGAGGCTCTTCACCGGTTCCTCCAGAACCGTAGGGATCTTGTTCCTTGCCACCGTAAAACTGATTGCCGCAACCTTGCCCTTATGGATTGACAGACTCCTCGACTTCTGCGGTTTAAACTGCATACCGCTCCATTGGACCACCGCGTCCAATCTATTCAGGATCGTGCGGGCAGACTCCTCGCTACCCGTTATTATAGTCGTGTCATCCATAAATGCGCGCAGTGGCGGCAACCAGTGATCCCCTATTTGAAGGCCCAGTCCGTAGCCGGCCGCCCCGTCTAACATGATCTGCATTGCCATGACAAACAGTATAGGTGAGATCGTACAGCCCATAGCTATCCCAATCTGCAACTCAGTCCACCTCGTGGTAAACGTCGAGGTAGAGAAGCGCAAAGCGAACTTGGAGAAATATTGCTCGATCATTTGACTGATCTGTGTCGGTACGTGAAACATGTGAAGGGCTCGCCACAGTAGCCTATGGGGGGCTGCCCCGTAGGCGTTGGCTAAGTCCAACCATATAACGTGCAAATCAGTTCTCTCATGCTTGGCTCTCTGGATAGCCTCCCAAATCATGGTCACGTGTTCAAGGCACCCAGGAACGCCTGGAATACCACCCTTCTGAACACTCGTATCTATGTACTTGTAAGTCATCAGATACTGTGTGAGCCGGCGAGCCATGACTGAGAAGAATATCTTACCCTCAACATTCAACAGCGAGATGGGCCTGAATTGGGAAAGACTCTTCGAGTCCTGCTTTTTGGGAATGTAGACCCCATTTGCCTTTGACCACTCTGGACATATGTGACTGCGGATCCACGCTTGTCTCAACAAGACGTGAAGCATTTTTAGGATTTGCGGGCAACGCTTGTAAAGAACGTACGGAACACCGTTCGGACCTGGGGCAGACTTGCCGCTGGCCTTTTTCACAACGTCCTCAACCTCAGACCAAAGGGGAGGTACCATTTTAAATGGTACCTTCAGCACCGAAGGCTGTTTGAGTCCGCTAAGGATCTCTGGATTGTCATCGAGAGGCTCTCTCCTCTTTTTATCCGAGTACATCTTGCGTAGATGTAGCTCTAGTTCTTCCTGACTGACAACCAGAGACCTCGGGCAAACTGATACGGGTCCCTAAAGAATTTCTCTCACTCCCTTTTGGTTCTACGTCTGTTGTTACAGAAACGCTCGGCGCGACAGAGGGCACTGTGTTTGTTCTTTAAATGCACCCACACTTCATACAGCCCCTACTGTTCGCTGCCTGTAGCGGCTTTGAACCGTTTTCTGAGGGCATTCTTGTCTGCCCGACACTTCAGAATGTCCCTCTGCCTCCTGCTAGTATTCTGCTTGGCACCCGGCTATGCCTTTACTACTGTCCCGAACTCGCGGGAGCAGTGTTCATATATTACATCTAGTATACAACAATGTGTCAATATGACAGAATATAACAATGTGTCAATGTGACAGAATATAACAATGTGTCAATGTGACAGAATATAACAATGTGTCAATATGATAGAATACAACAATGTGTCAATGTGAGGGAACACAACAGTATATGTCAATGTGAGGGAACACAACAATGTGAGAGAATACAACAATGTGTCAATGTGAGGGAACACAACAGTATATGTCAATGTGAGGGAACACAACAATGTGAGAGAATACAACAATGTGTCAATGTGAGGGAACACAACAATATGTCAATGTGAGGGAACACAACAATGTGAGAGAATACAACAATGTGTCAATGAGAGAGAACCCAACAATGTGAAAATGAGAAAAAACCCAACAATGTGTCAATGAGAGAGAACCCAACAATGTGTCAATGAGACAGAACCCAACAATGTGTCAATGAGACAGAACCCAACAATGTGTCAATGATAGAGAACCCAACAATGTGTCAATGAGAAAAAACCCAACAATGTGTCAATGAGAGAGAACCCAACAATGTGTCAATGATAGAGAACCCAACAATGTGTCAATGAGAAAAAAACCAACAATGTGTCAATGAGAGAGAACCAAACAATGTGTCAATGAGAGAGAACACAACAATGTGTCAATGAGAGAGAACACAACAATGTGTCAATGAGAGAGAACACAACAATGTGTCAATGAGAGAGAACACAACAATGTGTCAATGAGAGAGAACACAACAATGTGTCAATGAGAGAGAACACAACAATGTGTAAATGAGAGAGAACACAACAATGTGTCAATGAGACAGAACACAACAATGTGTCAATGAGACAGAACCCAACAATGTGTCAATGATAGAGAACCCAACAATGTGTCAATGAGAGAGAACCCAACAATGTGTCAATGAGACAGAACCCAACAATGTGTCAATGATAGAGAACCCAACAATGTGTCAATGATAGAGAACCCAACAATGTGTCAATGATAGAGAACCCAACAATGTGTCAATGATAGAGAACCCAACAATGTGTCAATGATAGAGAACCCAACAATGTGTCAATGAGACAGAACCCAACAATGTGTCAATGAGAGAGAACACAACAATGTGTCAATGAGAGAGAACACAACAATGTGTCAATGATAGAGAACACAACAATGTGTCAATGAGAGAGAACCTAACAATGTGTCAATGAGAGAGAACACAACAATGTGTCAATGAGAGAGAACACAACAATGTGTCAATGAGAGAGAACACAACAATGTGTCAATGAGAGAGAACACAACAATGTGTCAATGAGAGAGAACCCAACAATGTGTCAATGAGAGAGAACCCAACAATGTGTCAATGAGAGAGAACACAACAATGTGTTAATGAGAGAGAACCCAACAATGTGTCAATGAGAGAGAATACAACAATGTGTCAATGAGAGGGAATACAGAGAAATGAGAACACAAATATGACCTACCGTCATCAGTCTGTGTCTGCTGCAGGTCCTCTTGGGTGAAGGCCAACAAGGTGTCCACAATATCTTTCTGTATCTGGAGAGTGGCAGATGTAATCACGATATGTGGCATGTGTCACGCTACAAACATACTTTACCACAAACATCACAGCTATAACACTGGGACTACACTCACACAGTGAACCTCACACATCATGTATAAAAGCATTACTTGCTTTACGTCTCAATAGTGTGACTAAAAGGTAACAGAGGGAAGATGGTTTGAAAGTGATAAGAGGGACAAAGAGTGCTGTTAACCCTTTTAGCACGGGAAGTTTTTCAGAGGTCTAGCCAAAAACACGGAGCACTTTTTCAGTGAATTTGGTTATTACTTAATTTAATTTTTTTGACAGATTTCTGTTATTCTGACCCCCATGAAATAATATATCTATTTGAAGGATATAGATTGAAGTTCGTGATTTTCACAATATCGTTAAAATTAATTGATGTATATGCAAATTATCTCATTTGCATATCTAAAAATAAAAAATATGAATTTGAATTTTCAACTTCAATGCTTGAAACATAAAACTAAAAACAAAAAATTTTTTTATTTGAAATCTTTTTATTGATCTTTGGCCTTTTTACAAATGTTGTAAGCAATTCAATAGTCAAAAACACGTATATATATGTGAAACAGCAATAATATCTTTAGGTGACATGTGTTTTTCACCATCAGTCAGCACTAGAAATGGATGTGCCGGAGTGTCAACACCTTCGGGTGGATATACCCTGAGCCATGGTTGGGCTGTGGTCTGAACACAACAGCGTCCCCATCTGATTCCAACTATTACTACTAACACTAAATCCTGCATCAGTATCAACAGAATTAGTGTCATCAGTTGATTCAAATGTTTTATCAACATCAAGTTTAGGGGCAGAAACATACGAGTCAGACATACTTTTAGCGGTTCAGGTCACTATCTAAAAAATTCAACAACAATTTTCACTTCGATACCAAACACTCGAAAGTCGCCATGTGTAAAGCTGATACCGCAGTTAATATAAATGAATCACTTTCAGTGTTTCAAAGTAGGAGATTTCTTAGCGGTTCGAGGCGAAACACGATCGGGCCGATCATCGGCCGTTCCGTGTTTTTGGCTAGACATCCGCCGGCCGATAATCGGCCCGTCCGTGCTAAGAGGGTTAAGGAAGATAGATCAACCTTCCAGACAGATAGCAAAGAAGATAGATTCCAGTGTGACAGATAACAGGGAAAACAGATCAGTGTCAGACAGATAACAGGGAAGATAAAGCACAGTGTCAGACAGATAACAATGGAGATAGATTACAGTGTCAGAGAGATAATAGGGAAGACAGATAACAATGGAGATAGATTAGTGTCAGACAGATAACAATGGAAATAGGTTACAGTGTCAGACAGATAACAATGGAGATAGATTACAGTGTCAGACAGATAACAATGGAAATAGATTACAGTGTCAGACAGATAACAATGGAAATAGATTACAGTGTCAGACAGATAACAATGGAGATAGATTACAGTGTCAGAGAGATAACAATGGCGATAGATTTCAGTGTCAGACAGATAACAAGGGAGATAGATCACAGTGTCAGACAGATAACAATGGAGATAGATTACAGTGTCAGATAGATAACAGTGGAGATAGATTACAGGGTCAGAAAGATAACGAGGGAGACAGATCAGTGTCAGACAGATAAGAATGGAGATAGATTACAGTATCCGACAGATAACAATCAAGATAGATTACAGAGTCAGACGGATAATGAGGGAGACAGATCACAGTGTCAGACAGATAACAGGGAAGACAGATAAAAATGGAGATAGATTACACTGTCAGACAGATAACGAAGGAGATAGATCACAGTGTCAGACAGATAACGATGGAGATAGATTACAGTTTCAGACAGATAAGGAGAGACAGATAACAATGAAGATAGATTACAGTGTCAGACAGATAATAATGGAAATAGATTAGAGTATCAGACAGATAACAATCAAGATAGATTACAGAGTCAGACGGATAATGAGGAAGATAGATCACAGTGTCAGACAGATAAAAATGGAGATAGATTACACTGTCAGACAGATAACGAAAGAGATAGATCACAGTGTCAGACAGATAACAATGGAGATAGATTACAGTTTCAGACAGATAAGGAGTGAGATAGATCACAGTGTCAGACAGATAATAATGGAAATAGATTAGAGTATCAGACAGATAACAATCAAGATAGATTACAGAGTCAGACAGATAAAAATGGAGATAGATTACACTGTCAGACAGATAACGAAAGAGATAGATCACAGTGTCAGACAGATAACAATGGAGATAGATTACAGTTTCAGACAGATAAGGAGTGAGATAGATCACAGTGTCAGACAGATAACAATGGAGATAGATTACAGTATCAGACATATAACGAGGGAGATAGATCACAGTGTCAGACAGATAACGAGGGAGATAGATCACAGTGTCAGACAGATAACAATGGAGACAGATCACAGTGTCAGACAGATAACAATGGAGATAGATTTTAGTGTCAGACAGATAACAATGGAGATAGATTTTAGTGTCAGACAGATAACAATGGAGATAGATTTTAGTGTCAGACAGATAACAATGGAGATAGATTTTAGTGTCAGACAGATAACAATGGAGATAGATTACAGTGTCAGACAGATAACAATGGAGATAGATTAGTGTTAGACAGATAACAATGGAGATAGATTACAGTGTCAGTCAGATAACAATGAAGATAGATCAGTTTCACACAGGTAACAATGGAGAGAGATCACAGTGCCAGACAGATAACAATGGAAATAGATCACAGTGGCAGACAGATAACAATGGAGAGAGATCACAGTGTCAGAAAGATAACGAGGGAGATAGATTACAGTGTCAGACAGATAACAATGGAGATAGATTACAGTGTAAGACAGATAACAATAGAGATAGATCAGTGTTAGGCAGATAACAATGGAGATAGATTACAGTGTCAGTCAGATAACAATGAAGATAGATCAGTTTCACACAGGTAACAATGGAGAGAGATCACAGTGCCAGACAGATAACAATGGAGATAGATCACAGTGGCAGACAGATAACAATGGAGAGAGATCACAGTGTCAGAAAGATAACAAGGGAGATAGATTACAGTGTCAGACAGATAACGAGGGAGATAGATTACAGTGTCAGACAGATAACGAGGGAGATAGATTACAGTGTCAGACAGATAACAGGGAAGACAGAGGTCACTGTTGTAGCTTACCTTGGTGAGGTCACTGCTGTAGAGGGAGGAGGTCGGCACCGAACACATGACAGTGTGTAGCTCCAGCAGTGTGGGAACAGAGGTCAGGTCCTTAAACTTTGAAAACACAGGAGAGGAATACGGTCACATTTCTCATCAGTGTGTGTTATGTGTGTGAATGTATGCAGATGTCTATCTACGCACAAGTGTGTGTGTGTGTGTGTGAATGTACGCACAAGTGTGTGTGAATGTACGCACAAGTGTGTGTGAATGTACGCACAAGTGTGTGTGAATGTATGCCCAAATGTGTGTGTGTGTGAATATATGCACAAGTGTGATTGAATGTATGTGCACGTGTGTGTGTGTTTGTGTGTGTGAATGTATGCACAAGGGTGTGAGAATGTATGAACTACTGTGTGTGTGTGTGTGTGTGTGTATGCACATGTGTGCGTGTATGCATGTGTCTGAGTCTGTAAATGTAAACAAATGTTTTTCCTTATAAGTTCATTTAGTTTCTGTGAATCTGTGATTGCCTGTGCCTATCTGTGTACATCTGTGTGTATCTGTGTACATCTGTGTGTATCTGTGTACATCTGTGTACATTGGTGTGTATCTGTGTACATCTGTGTGTAGCTGTGTACACCTGTGTGTAGCTGTGTACACCTATGTGTAACTGTGTACATCTGTGTAGCTGTGATTGCCTGTGTGTATCTGTGCACATCTGTGTGTAGTTGTGATTGTCTGTGTGTAACTGTGTACATCTGTGTAGCTGTGATTGCCTGTGTGTATCTGTGCACATCTGTGTGTATCTGTGTTTACCTGTGTACATCTGTATGTATCTGTGTACATCTGTGTGAAACTGTGTACATCTGTGTGTATCTGTGTACATCTGTGTGTATCTGTATGTATCTGTATGTAGCTGTGTACACCTGAGTGTAAATGTGCACATCTGTGTGTATCTGTGTTTACCTGTGTACATCTGTATGTATCTGTGTACATCTGTGTGAAACTGTGTACATCTGTGTTTATCTGTGTACATCTGTGTGTATCTGTGTACATCTGTGTGTAGTTGTGATTGTCTCTGTGTATATGTGTACACCTGTGTGTATCTGTGTACATTTGTGTGTATCTGTGTACATTTGTGTGTATGTGTGTTGCAGTACAGCGTATATTTCAGTGGTGTGTGCTGTAGCTGACCCTCATTAGACTGACAACAGACACATCACAGAGTTGACCCTGATAAGACTGACAACAAACATATCACAGAGTTGACCCTGATAAGACTGACAACAGACATGTCACAGAGTTGACACTGATAAGACTGTCAACAGACATGTCACAGAGTTGAACCTGATAAGACTGACAACAAACACATCACAGAGTTGACCCTGATAAGACTGACAACAGACATGTCACAGAGTTGACCCTGATAAGACTGACAACAAACACATCACATAGTTGACCCTGATGAGACTGACAACAGACATGTCACAGAGATGACACTGATAAGACTGACAACAGACATGTCACAGAGATGACACTGATAAGACTGACAACAGACATGTCCCAGAGTTGACCCTGATAAGACTGTCAACAGACACAGCACAGAGTTGACACTGATAAGACTGACCACATAAAACAGGCATCTCACAGAGCTGACACTGATAAGACTGACAACAGACAGTAAATACTACTGGATTGTGAAACGAGAGCTTTAATTTACATCTGTGTGTATCTGTGTGCATCTGTGTACATCTGTGTGTAGCTGTGTACACCTGTGTGTAGCTGTGTACACATGTGTGTATTTGTGTACATCTATGTGTAGCTGTGTACATCTGTGTAGCTGTGATTGCCTGTGTGTATCTGTGTACATCTGTGTGTATCTGTGTACATCTGTGTGTAGCTGTGTACATCTGTGTCTATCTGTGTATATTTGTGTATAGTTGTGATTGCCTGTGTGTATCTGTGTACATCTGTGTGTATTTGTGTACATCTGTGTGTAGCTGTGTACACCTGAGTGTAGCTGTGTACATCTGTGTGAAACTATGTACATCTGTGTGTATCTGTATACACCTGTGTGTAGTTGTGATTAAGTTCCCTTTTAATGCCTTTCGGCGCATCGGGCATATGGGCAGAGCGTCCTATATTTTTGTAGTTGTGATTGCCTGTGTGTATATGTGTACACCTGTGTGTATCTGTGTACACCTGTGTATCTGTGTGCATTTGTGTGTATCTGTGTACACCTGTGTGTACCTGTGTACATTTGTGTGTAGCTGTATGTGTGTTGCAGTACAGAGTATATTTCAGTGGTGTGTGCTGTGGCTGGCCCTGATAAGACTGACAACAGAAACATCATAGAGTTGACCCTGATAAGACTGACAAACAGACATGTCACAAAGTTGACCCTGGTAAGACTGACAACAGACAGTGAATAGTATTGGATTGTGAAACGAGAGCTTTAACTTACAGAGTTTAATACAAGTAGCTCCTGATGGTTCTCGTCTTCAGCAGGTCCATCATGGGATACCTGGGGCTTGCCCCCTTCGGTCCTGAAAGCCTGAATGAGCTGGCAGAGTGTTGCGTGCACCAGGCTGAGTGTGGGTTTGATCAGGGAGAAGTAGGTCAGCCATTGGTCGGTGGTGTAAGGAATGCCTTGCTGCCAGACCTTCAGCTGAGACTCGCTCAATTTCTGGGATACAACAACAGCATTTGTAAACATGGCTATGGTAGCACAGCTGTGAAAAGTGTGTTAGAGAGGTTAGAACTGTAAAAGATCTGAGCACTGGAGGTGTACGCACTGTGTAAAGGGTGTATGCACTGTGTAAAGGGTGTACGCACTGTGTAAAGGGTGTACACACTGTGTAAGAGGTGCAAGAACTGTGTAAGAGGTGTAAGCATTGTGTGGTCAATGTTGACACTGCGTGGTCAATGTTTGCAGTGTGTGAGAAATGTGAACAGTGTGTGAAATGTGTAGGCATGGTATTAGAGGTGAGAACAGTGTGTGAGAGGTGGGAGGACTGTGTCAGAGATGTAAGCATTCTGTAAGATATGTAAGCATTCTGTGAGCAGTGTGAGATATGTGAGCACTGTGTGAGAAATGTAAGCATTATGTGAGAGATGTGAGCATTCTGTGAGATATGTAAGCATTATGTGAGAGATATGAGCATTCTGAGAGATTTGTAAGCATTCTGTGAGATATGTGAGCATTGTATGAGAGATGTAAGCACTGCTGAGAGAAGTAAGCACTATTGTGAGAAGTAGGTATTGTGTATAAGCTGTAGGTATTGTGTAAGCATTGTGTGGTCAATGTGGGCATTGAGTGCTCAATACTGGTATTGTGTGAGAGCTGTGAACAGCGTGTGAGAGGTGTGAGGACTGTGTCAGTGATTTAAGCATTATGTGAGAAATGTAAGCATTATGTGAGAGATGTGAGCAGTGTGTGAGAGATGTGGGCATTGTGTGAGAGATGTGAACAGCGTGTGAGAGGTGTGAGGACTGTGTCAGTGATTTAAGCATTATGTGAGAGATGTGAGCATTACGTGAGAGATGTGGGCATTGTGTGAGAGATGTGAACAGCGTGTGAGAGGTGTGAGGACTGTGTCAGGGATTTAAGCATTATGTGAGAAATGTAAGCATTATGTGAGAGATGTGAGCAGTGTGTGAGAGATGTGAACACTGTGTGAGAGATTTGAGCACTGTTTGAGCGACGTCAGCACTGTGTGAGAGAGATGTGAGCATTATGTGAGAGATGTAAGCATTATGTGAGAGATGTAAGCATTATGTGAGAGATGTAAGCATTATGTGAGAGATGTAAGCATCATGTTAGAGAGATGTGAACACTGTGTGTAAAAATTAGCAGTTAAAAATTGAGCAGAATAAATAAATGAGAGAATTAACAGTCTCAAACTGCAAACAATAAACACAATTAGAGAAAAACTAGCAGTCTGAGGACATCTAAAACATACCTGCAGGATGTTGATGAAAATGGGGTAGCAGTCAGCGCTATATAATTCCACAAGTGCATATCTGTACTTGGCTTCATTCAATGTGTCTGTAAGATTTCACATAAGCTTAATTATAATTAGTTCCACACAGAACAGCAACATTAACATCTGCTCCCACATCACACAGTGACATCAATGTCTGCTCCCACACCACACAGTGACATCAATGTCTGCTCCCACATCACACAGTGACATCAATGTCTGCTCTCACACCACACAATGACATCAATTTCTGCTCCCACATCACACAGTGACATCAATGTCTGTTCCCACACCACACAATGACATCAATTTCTGCTCCCACATCACACAGTGACATCAATGTCTGTTCCCACACCACACAATGACATCCATGTCTCTGACTCAATGGTTATCTGCAACACTCCCCACTGACTATGGTATCTGCCACACTCCGCACTGACTCTATAGTTATCTACCGCACTCCCCACTGACTATGGTATCTGCCACACTCCCCACTGACTATGGTATCTGCCACACACCCCACCAACTCTATGGTTATCTGCCACACTCCCCACCGACTCTATAGTTATCTGCCACACTCCCCACTGACTATGGTATCTGCCACACTCCCCACCGACTCTATGGTTATCTGCCACACTCCCCACTGACTATGGTATCTGCCACACACCCCACCGACTATGGTTATCTGCCACACTCCCCACTGACTCTATAGTTATCTACCACACTCTCCACTGACTATGGTTATCTGCCACACACCCCACCGACTCTATGGTTATCTGTCACTCTCCAAAGACCCTATGGTTACCTGATAATACTCTGTCAAATATCACACACATTATGTCCAACTGACTCTATAGTCAACTATCACACACCTGACATCCCACTGACTCTATCGTCAACTATCACACACACACCTCACATCCCAATGACTCTACGGTCAATTATCACACACCCTACATCCCACAGACTGAACCATGACCTCTGACCTTCCCACTAAATGTGTCCCCAATAGTTACCTATGTTGTCCACTGAAGCGCTGAATGACTAAACTCTAAAACCTGAGTTTTGCTTGCAAACATAGTTCATACCTGCTTTATTTGCAAGTAGACTGCTGGTCTCTGACCTCTCAGGCAGATGTACTCTGACTTTAAAGCAGACATTCCTAATTAGTTGACTCTTATGACATGCTTGCTAGGGGGCAGTGGGTCTAATGCAACCCCAAAACCCACACAGGAAACTGACTGAACAAACAGTTACCCATGTTGTCCACTGAAGCATTTGATGCAGCCTCTGACACCAAGGAATAGATCATCCGGATGACTGTGATCAGTCCAGGAGGCACCTTCTTCACATCATCTGTGTACGACTTGAGCTGGGAGATCATTGAGGCCAGGCCATCCAGGTCAAAGGAGCTCACTTTCTTCACAGGAGCTAGCCATTCCTGAAGTTGGGTCAGTTTGGCACTTGTACCTGTATCAGAGAGATTCAACATGTACCAGAGGGAGATATGTGATGGAAGAGAGATTCAACATGTACCAGAGGGAGATATGTGATTGAAGAGAGATTCAACTGTACCAGAGGGAGTTGTGTGATGGGAAGGAGTTTTAACTGTACCTGATGGAGATATGTGATGGAAAAGAGATTCAACTTTACCAGTTAGAGATATGTGATGGGAAAAAAATGCAACTGTACCTGGGGAAGATATATGATGGGGGACAAATGTAACTTGTATCAGATAAAGATATTTGATGGAAGAGAGGTTCAACTTGTACCAGAGAAAGATATGTGACGGGAAGGAGACAAATGTTCATGAGGGAAATATGTGTAGGGAGACAGATTCAACTTGCGGGAGAGATGTTAAATGTGTACCAATGTTAATTATGTGATTGTAGAGTTTCTGCTTGTATCAGAGGGTGATATGTGATGGGAGAGAGGTTCAACTTCTACCTGAGGAAGATAAGTGATAGGTGGGAGATTTAAACTATACCTGAGGGTGATATGTGATTGGAGAGAGATAAAATTTGTACCTGAGCTGACTGGGGATTGGGGGGGGGGGGGGGGGGGGGTAGGGAGGGGTTTAAGATTTAACTTGTACCGGAGGGGGGATAGGTGATGGGAGGGAGATTGAACTTAAACTAGGGAGATATGTGGTGGAAAGGAGATTCAACTTGTTCCAAAGGTGATGGAATGGAGATTCAATTCATACCAGAGGGAGATAGTTGATGGGAGGGAGAGTACCAGAGGGAGATATGTGACTTCTTTTTTTATCTTAAAGTCCATGCTGTGTGGCATAGTTAGTCATGTCTATCCATAACCTTTTGTCTTGTATACTTTCAGTCAACTCTGTTTCAGATGATCCTCCATGCCATGTGGTGTTGGTAGTCATGTCTATCCATAACCTTTTGTCTTGTGTACTTTTAGTCAACTCTGTTTTAGATGATCCTTAATGCCATAATGTCAAACTGTCCAGCATCTTTTCTCTCTGTCTCCTTCTGCCTCTCTTCCCCTCCAACTTTCCTACTGTCATGATGTACTCCAGTTTTTTTCCTTCTCACCACATGACCAAAGAATGTAGACTGTCACTTCTTTCTGATGTGGACAATCAGTTCTCTTCCTGGGTCTGTTTCTTTCAACACATCTTCATTACTCTTTTGATCTGTCCAAGGTATTCTCATCATTCACCTATAAAACTTCATCACCACAGCTTCCAAATAATGTTTTAATAATCTACCAACTGTACATGATTCACTTTCATATATCAATATAGGATTTATATGACTTTTATAAATTCTCTTTCTCAGCTCAACTGGCAAAGAAAAACTGCATAAAATATTCTTAATTTTGTAAAAAGCTGTCTTTGTTTTAGCTATTTTTCATTTAACTTCTTGAATACATCCTCCACCGAATGTATTTGAGAACATTCACAACATCAGATGGATGATGTGTGACAGATATTAACCGCAGAATTGGCCAGGCAAAAACAAACTCAAACAGTCAGCTGTACACTTACTGTCTCATGAAAACAAACAAAAACAGTCAGCTGTAAACTTACTGTCTCATAAAAACAAACAAAAACATTCAGCTGTACACTTACTGTCTCTTGAAAACAAACAAAAACAGTCAACTGTGCACTTACTGTCTCAGGAAAACAAACAAAAACAGTCAACTGTGCACTTACTGTCTCATGAAAACAAACAAAAACAGTCAACTGTGCACTTACTATCTCATGAAAACAAACAAAAACAGTCATCTGTAAACTTACCGTCTCATGAAAACAAACAAAAACAGTCAGCTGTAAACTTACTGTCTCATAAAAACAGACAAAAACAGTCAACTGTACACTTACTGTCTCATGAAAACAGACCCAAACAGTCATCTGTAAACTTACTGTCTCATGAAAACTAACAAAAACAGTCAGCTGTACACTTACTGTCTCGTGAAAACAAACCCAAACAGTCAGCTGTACACTTACTGTCTCATGAAAACAAACAAAAACAGTCAACTGTGCACTTACTATCTAATGAAAACAAACAAAAACAGTCATCTGTAAACTTACTGTGTCATGAAAACAAACAAAAAGTCAGTTGTAAACTTACTGTCTCATAAAAACAGACAAAAACAGTCAACTGTACACTTACTGTCTCATGAAAACAGACCCAAACAGTCATCAGTAAACTTACTGTCTCATGAAAACTAACAAAAACAGTCAGCTGTACACTTACTGTCTCGTGAAAACAAACCCAAACAGTCAGCTGTACACTTACTGTCTAGTGAAAACAAACTCAAACAGTCAGCTGTACATTTACTGTCTAGTGAAAACAAACTCAAACAGTCAGCTGTACATTTACTGTCTCATGAAAACAAACTCAAACAGACAGCTGTACACTTACTGTCCTGCGACAAAGACAGCAACCTTTGGCCATATCGTTCCAGCATTGTCACAGTGGGGCAGGTTTTGATAGCCGCCAACAACAGCTGAATAGAGTAATTAGCACAGACACTCTTGCGCAGCTGGCTGTCAGCTTCCTCGTCACCTACACCAGGCCAGTAGAGAAAACTATTCATCAGTATCAACAGAACATAGACACTCAGATCAAGCTTACAACAGTATGAACACATCTAACATACAACTATACATACAGTATGTACACATCTAACATACAGCTATTCATACAGATCAAGTTTACAACAGTATGTACACATCTAACATACAACTATTCATACAGATCAAGCTTACAACAGTATGAACACATCTAACATACAACTATACATACAGATCAAACTTACAGAAGTAGGTACAAATCTAACATAAAACCATAAGTACAGATTAGGCTTACAGCAGTATGCACACATATAACATACAACCACATGTACAGATGAAGCTTTCAAACAGTATGTACCCATCTTACATACAACTATACATACAGATCAAGCTTTCAACAGTATGTACACATCTAACATACAGACATACACACAGCTCAAGTTTACAATGGTATGTACTCATCTTACATACAACCACATGTACAGATGAAGCTTTCAAACAGTATGTACATGTCCTACATACAAACACGTGTACAGATCAAACTTACAACAAAATTTACACATCTAGCATACAACCATAAGTACAGATCAAGCTTACAACCAAATTTACACATCTAGCATACAACCATATGTACAGATCAAGCTTACAACAGTATGTAGATATCTAGTATACAATCACATGTGCAGATCAAATTTACAAGTGTTTTTCGTCCATCACCAGTGATGAAGACCACTTTTCATCCACTGTAGTACTTGATCAATAATTATGAGTACAACGGTGGCTGATGAGTCCAATTTTAGCCTAAAAAGTTCTTGAGCCGCGCGGACAACAGATGGAAGCCGCAGTAAGTGTGGGATTAGCGATACGGTTCTTTCTAGTCTGCCTCCGTTTCTCTACCTGTGCAACCTGCACTGCCTGGCAGGCTGATGCAACATGCCTGAGGGACGTACGCCTTCCAGAATGGTCCTGTGCAACAGCCTCCCATGTTGCTGTGTGATGCGGAAAGAACTGAGAGCAGTTTTGAGTGCACTTGTAGCCCCTTTTCTGTCATCCCTTGCTGGAGCTTGCCACAAAATACTCTCTTTGGGAGGCGACAGTCGGCATGCAGACTAGGTGACCAGCTCAATGTAGCTGATAATTCCACAGTATCATGTGAATCTGAAGTATCCACTTACAAGAGTATGAACACAGCTAACATATAACCATTTGCACAGATCAAGCTAACAGCAGTATGTTCACATCTAGCATACAATCATATGTACAGATCAAGCTAACAGTAGTATGTACACACCTAGAATACAATCATATGTGCAGATCAAGCTACTAACAGTAAGTATACATCTTGCATACAGTCATATATATAGATCAAGCTTACAACAGTGACGAGGAGAGAGAAATACAGACACAGAGAAATACAGACACAGAGAAATACAGACGCAGAGAGACATTGAGAAAGAGAGACTGACACGGAGATAGAGGAGACAGAAAGAGAGAGGAGATACAGAAAGAGAGAGACACACAGAGAGAGAGAGAGAGAGAGAGAGAAAGAGAGAGAGACAGATAAAGAGAGAGAGAGAGAGAGAGAGAGAGAGAGAGAGAGAGAGAGAGAGAGAGAGAGAGAGAGAGAGAGACAGACAGACAGAAAGAGAGACAGAGAAAGAGAGAGAGAGACACACACACAGAGATAGAGAGAGAGACAGAGAGAGAGTTGACAGAAAGAGAGAGAGACAGACAGACAGAGAAAGAGAGAGAGAGACAGAGAGAGAGAGAGAGAGACAGAGAGAGACAGAGACGGAGAGGGGACAGAAAGAGAGAGAGCCAGAGAGAGACAGACAGACAGACAGAAAAAAAAGAGAGAGAGAGAGAGAGTGCCAGTGCTGTACCAGTTTTCTCCAAGAATGGCAGGAAAGCCTCCAGGTTGTTGTCAAAAGCCAACACTTTGGCCAGGATGTGTCGTCCCATCAGAGGCTCTCTGCTGACCGCTGTGAAGGTCATCGTGTACAGGCCATGCAGGACAGAGATGACCTCCGGGTCATCAATGAGTCGGTTGCCTGTGTGATTGATACCACTTGATCACATGACCACCAACAATTTGTGTCAGTCTACTGTTTGTCGCTCAACATTATATGTCAGTCTATGTTACTATACACAGTATATTTTATTTCCAGCTATTACACTGTACACTTTATTTCCATCTATGATACTGAACACTTTATTTCCATCTATGATACTGAACACTTTATTTCCATCTATGATACTGAACACATTATTTCCATCTATGATACTGAACACTTTATTTCCATCTATGATACTGAACGCTTTATTTCCATTATGATACTGAACACTTTATTTCCATCTATGATACTGAACACTTTATTTCCATCTATGATACTGAACACTTTATTTCCATCTATGATACTGAACACTTTATTTCCATCTATGATACTGAACACTTTATTTCAGTCAATCATACTACTATAACAATACTCGTAACAATGCACATCTAACTAGGTCAATAAAATAATGGCTTGTTTGTTTTCTGCTTATCAGGCGGCGAAGCAAAGTTGCCAGATCATAGATGAAGGTTGCCTCTTTGGATTCCATGCTTTTGCTTCAAAGATGGCACTTTTGTCTTGACAGTAATAAAATCAGTCTCATTACCTAATTGTCGGACCCTGTATAAGGTACATTTTATTTCAATCCATTATTCTGAACACTTTCAGTCTATTATACTATTATCCTGTACACTTTACTTGTACACTGTACACTATATTTAGTATATTGTCCACATAACATCAGTAACAAAGCAAGCTATCAATGTAAAAAGATCTTCGTTCTTTTAAGAGGGTCATAAATGTGTCTACCAAAATAGGACCCTGAGGACTTCCCATGGCCATTCCGTCAATCTGGCTGTAAAACCACTAGAGGAAACTGAACCTGATGCTCCATGTGCACAACAACAGTGTTGAGACCGGTAATTCCAACTTGAGATTCTTCTTTTCTACATGCTCAATTTCTTATCAAACCCCCAAGCATAAAGCAATTTCTCCTGTGCTCAAAAAAAAAAGGTCTTTTCCTATTTTGTTTCTGGTATATGAGGATTTGCATTATGGCTGGGGGTTTAGTGGGCAGCTGCTCCACCACAAAGCCAGGCTTTGCACTCTGATTTAGTGATAATTACTCTCTGAGGCGTTGCGAGTCCGACTCGTAAGCCAGCATACCGCGATCGACACCCACTGCAGGCTGCGTGGATTTTTGTCGTGGTATGGGACGTCGCAGGTCGACCCAGCCTAAAATGGGTACCAGGATGGGGTGTCCTGGGAAAGTAAAGACAGCCGGCGTAATGCTGACCACATTACCCACAGAGTGCTGATGGTCTGTAAAAATATGGGACGCTCTGCCCATATGCCCGATGCGCCGAAAGGCGTGAAAAGGGAACTTTACTTTTTTACTCTCTGACATGTGAGTCTTATGAACAGTCTTTTCATTTCTAAATTGTTGCTTGTTTTTTTTTAAATTTTTTAAATTTAATTTAAGGTCAAGTCATCAGAATGACTTGAGTCCCTCTTTAGAAGACTGAAAGAGCAAGCAGCTTCTCAAGGGAGTTTTTCAGGGCATCAAATGTCAGTTGCAGCCCTGTGAGTATCTTTGCTAACAGATGATTAATTGTCAGCATCTGCAGATGGTGATCATTCGGTCAGCAAGAGCTAAAACTGTCAGTGAGGCAGGCCTGTACTCACCTCGGGCGTGTGGTCCAGCTCTGTGAAAGAGTTGATCTATAAACTGTCAGTGAGGCAGGCCTGTACTCACCTCGGGCGTGTGGTCCAGCTCTGTGAAAGAGTTGATCTATAAACTGCAGCACCTGAATGTGGTAGACCAGCTCCAGACCCAGCTGACGGGAGGGGAAGTCTTCTCCGGAGTCTTCAGTCTCCTCCTGGAAATAAACCAGTGCACAAATATTCACATGTGCACTCGCATGTGCAAACACACACACACATACTAAACACTAGATTCACGAGCATTGAACACAGGTACACAGATAAATACATACATTACATGTATACAGACACAAAACACACACACATATATACAGAACTGAGGTGAGTTGATTCAAGAACTGACATCACAGCATTTGGGGTATTTCCATAAGCGCTCAGTCCCCATATTTAGCAGCCACTGAAGAGTTCCAATACTAATGTTGCCAATAGCATTCTGATTAAACTGTCTTGCCTTTCCTCTGAGCCTCAAGCATCTGCCACAACCCCTCGTCACTCCTAGCTGCATCAATCTCAATAGACTGTGGTGATCCATATGCTCCTCTGAACTGTACATGCTCTCCCACAAGGCACTAGCCACGTCTGCCTTATCATGCATCAGTATTCCACGAAGTTGTGCAGAGCTAGGCAGTCTGTTTGCCTGTTCATTTCCCAACACACCGGCGTGCCCCAGTGAAAAAAAAAAGACAATACTCCTTACCCGTATCCTCCGCGGTGAAACATGCCACTCTGCAGGAAGCACGCCACTCTGCAGGAAGCATGCCACTCTGCAGGAAGCATGCCACTCTGCAGGAAGCATGCCACTCTGCAGGAGGCACGCCACTCTGCAGGAAGCATGCCACTCTGCAGGAAGCATGCCACTCTGCAGGAAGCATGCCACTCTGCAGGAAGCATGCCACTCTGCAGGAAGCACGCCACTCTGCAGGAAGCATGCCACTCTGCAGGAAGCATGCCACTCTGCAGGAAGCATGCCACTCTGCAGGAAGCATGCCTGTCCTGACCTTCCTTAGCACGCTTTCTGAGTCAGTTAAATCACGGTGTCTCTGTGTGTGTGTGTGTGTGTGTTGTGTTCTATAACTAGCGGAAAGCTGCAGTGACCACCTCCACCTACATTCTTAAGCTGGATGTTGTGGTATCTGCTAGGCTCTCCTGCACCAAACGTTGACCACTAACTTTTGCTAAGAAACCCCAAGCACATATATACAGAAACTACTAAACAAACAAACTGCCCCAACTTGTCATAAAAATTTAGGATAATTCTCTTCCTTCTATACAGAATGTTGTCCCCATCACAGCCTAGCCAATAAAAGACATACACAATGTTGACTATACAACACCCCATCTATTACTAAACACAATGCTGACTATAATAAACCCCATCCATTACTAAACACAATGCTGACTATAACAAACGCCATCCATTACTAAACACAATGCTGACTATAACATACCCCATCTATTACTATTCACAATGCTGACTATAACAAACGCCATCCATTACTAAACACAATGCTCACTATAACATACCCCATCTATTACTATTCACAATGCTGACTATAAAACACACCTTGGCCATTACTAAACACAATTTTGACAATACCACACCCCAGCCATTATTAAACACAATGCTTCCTATATCACATCCTTCTGTCTCTTCTGTGTCCCCCAACAGGGCACAGTCCCTGAACCAAGCCAAGTTCTTTGTAGATTCTTTGATACCACAGGGGGGAGGTGGTTTTCTGCCCTTATTTCTATGACCTGTGGGTTCCAGAAATAAAGCCTTTTGATGTATACTGTTCTCAGGTTTTCTCAACTTGTGAGTTACCCAAAGCCAGCCTCTTTTCTCCAGCTGTTTATTGACTGGAAAATTGTTTAGTTCTCTTAAGAGCTCCCAATTTGTGATGCTATCCTACCATTCTACTGCCTTGATCCTGTGCAAGAACTAGTTAATATCATAGCCCAGCAAACGGACAATGTTAGCCAAATCTTACCGCAGCCTGCAACAAGCATCGGATGATGGCGCTAGCGGTCTCTGCGTGAGCACACAGAAACAGCAGCCCTTGCTGGCTGGACATCAACTGTTGCAGCAAGGTGTCAATGGACAGGTAAATGCTCGGACAACTGGCAGTCAGTGGGCACGACAGCAAGGCAAATACAGTCTCTAGCAGGCGGCTGTCCACAGAATCAGGTACAATCAATGCACAGTCTAATGTAATCTGTGACTACAAAATTGTGTATGATTTCAATGAAGTGCATGATTGCACTATAGTGTGTGATTTCAATGTTGTACATGATTACTATAAAGTGTATGAATTTAATGTAGTATATGATTACAATATAGTGTATGACTACATATAGTGTATGACTACAATGTAGTGAATGATTACAATGTAGTGTATGATGTACAATGTAGTGTATGATTTCAATGTAGTGTGTGATTACAATGCTGTGTATGATAACAATATAGTGAATGATGTACAATGTAGTGTAAATGAAGAATAAAGCCTATTATATGATGTGAAATGCAAAAAAAAATGGTGTGATATTTAATTTGTGATCTGACATAAGCTACACAAGCTGTGATTACCATGCAATAAATTGTTATGAATCATGAAGTAATGAATATACTGTGTAATCACCAGCAAAGAGCTGGTACTGTGTAATCACCAGCAAAGAGCTGGTACTGTGTAATCATGACCAGATCATTGTACTGTGTACTCACCAGCAAACAGCTGGTACTGTGTACTTACCAACAGACAGCTAGTACTGTGTACTCATTGGAAAACAGCTGGTACTGTGTACTCACCAATAGGCAGCTGGTACTGTGTAATCACAGCCAGATCACTGGTACTGTGTATTCATCCGCAAACAGCTGGTACTGTGTATTCACCAACAGACAGCTGGTACTGTATCATCACAACCAGATCACTGGTCCTGTGTACTCATCAGCAAACAGCTGGTGCTGTGTACTCATCAGCAAACAGCTGGTGCTGTGTACTCACCAGCAAACAGCTGGTATTGTGTACTCACCAGCAAACAGCTGGTACTGTTTACTCACCAGCAAACAGCTGGTACTGTGTAATCACCAGCAGACAGCTGGTATTGTGTACTCATCAGTAGGCAGCTGGTATTGTGTACTCACCAGTAGACAGCTAGTATTGTGTACTCACCAGTAGGCAGCTGGTATTGTGTACTCACCAGTAGGCAGCAACATTGTAGACAGCTTGTATTGTATCTGCAGACTTGGCGTGGTTGTCCACTAGAAGGTTGTATGGTACAGCATCATGTAGCTGGCCCTGGACAACCATAGACATATTGTCAGAGGGGGCATCCATTGCATTAACATCTACATACTGTGTGGTTACACTTTCAGGGGAAAACATTCGGCATCTGGTTACGCTTTCAGGGCATGAGTTTCATTGTCTGGTCACACTTTCAGGTGAAACCGTTCAGCATCTGGTTACGCTTTCAGGGAATGAGTTTCATTGTCTGGTCACACTTTCAGGGGATGAGTTTCATTGTCTGGTCACACTTTCAGGGAATGAGTTTCAATGTCTGGTTACACTTTCAGGGAATAAGTTTCATTGTCTGGTCACACTTTCAGGGAATGAGTTTCATTGTCTGGTCACACTTTCAGGGGATGTGTTTCATTGTCTGGTCACACTTTCAGGGAATGAGTTTCATTGTCTGGTCACACTTTCAGGGGATGTGTTTCATTGTCTGGTCACACTTTCAGGGGATGAGTTTCATTGTCTGGTCACACTTTCAGGGGATGTGTTTCATTGTCTGGTCACACTTTCAGGGAATGAGTTTTATTGTCTGGTCACACTTTCAGGGGATGAGTTTCATTGTCTGGTCACACTTTCAGGGGATGAAAATCACTGTCTGTCACACTTGTATAGTTTACTTATGTGGGAACCTTATTAGGGGATGGGTTTCATTGTTTCATCACACTTTCAGAGGGATAGGTTTCATTGTCTCATGACACTTCCAGTGGACAAGTTTCATGGTCTGATCATACATTCAGGGAATCTTCTTAGCGTTTGCGGGCTGTAAACTCAGGTGGAATGTTCTGGTTGTTTGTTGACTCCTGAATGTTGGTCTTATTTCAGAACTTGAGTTTTACGTGCACATGCATTTGATAGATCTGGCTTATTTGTATAGAGACTGCTGGTTACTTGCCTTTCAGACAGATGTACTCTGACTGTGAAGGAGAAATCGCTAATTAGTGGCCTCCTATGACATGCTTGTTAGAGGTGCAGAGGGTCTATTCAATCTCAAAAATGGAGCCACAGAACCCACATGGGTTTTCAGCGGATCAATATCTTGTCCTATCACACTTTCAATGAATGACCTTCATTATCCTGGTCCTACACTGTTCAAAACAGGAAACAACTAGTTATCTAACAGCCCTATCCTCTTCAAGAAAAAAAGGTGTCCTATCCAATGGCATGATTCTATTGGTTGATGGTAAAGCCAGTACACCTAAAAACTGTCAATGATTCAGAAGACAAAAGAAGTGTCAATTGACTGCTTGAATGCTAAGGTATTCTTGTGTGCAATTTGAACAATTTCATTCATTAAATTACAAAGACTTTGAATGTTAAAATCGTGACAAAGTTATGGACTTTTCAGTCACCTATGTGTCACTTTATTCTTTTATCTGACGAGTGGCAAAGCATTAGCAGATAATTGGGGTTTTTTTTTTTTTACAGTATATTTTCAGACGATGAGTTTCATACTCTGATCTTACTTTAGGAGATGAGTTATATTATCTGGTCATACTTTCAGACAAGTTTCATTATCTGGTGACACTTTTAGGAGATGAGTTATATTATCTGGTCATACATTCAGACAAGTTTCATTATCTGGTGACACTTTTAGAAGATGAGTTATATTATCTGGTCACACTCTTAGGAGATGAGTTATATTATCTGGTCATACATTCAGACAAGTTTCATTATCTGGACACACTTTCAGAAGATGAGTTATATTATCTGGTCATACATTCAGACAAGTTTCATTATCTGGACACACTTTCAGGAGATGAGTTATATTATCTGGTCATACATTCAGACAAGTTTCATTATCTGGACACACTTTCAGGAGATGAGTTATATTATCTGGTCATACATTCAGACAAGTTTCATTATCTAGTGACACTTTCAGGAGATGAGTTATAGTGTCTGGTCACACTTTTAGAGATCAGTTATATTATGTGGTTATACTTTCAGACAAGCCTCATTATCTGGTCATACTTTCAGACAAGTCTCATTATCTGGTCATACATTCAGACAAGTCTCATTATCTGGTCACACTTTTAGGAGATGAGTTATATTATCTGGTCACACTTTTAGGAGATGAGTTTCACTGTCTGATCACATGTTTAAATTTAATCTTTTAATTTCACTACATACAATCCAGCAGTCTGTCCAATCTTCAATTTGAAACTTAAGTTTTATACAAACTAACAATTGATCAAAACTTGACCTCTGAACTTTGACCAAGAAACACTCACAATCAGCCCATGAGGGTCACCAAGTATTTTTGTTGCCTCTTCCAAGTTTGCCAGGATTTTGGTCTCATCCTCTGCTTGCAGTTGTGGTGCTTCATCTGCATCATCTTCTTTATGTACAGCTGCTTCCTCTGTCTGCAAGGTGCTAGACAAAACTCTGCCGCAGCAGGACAAACAATAGTTGTGAAAACATCTCACTAGACAACACATGCTAATTAGCACAACAGATGAATAATAGCTGTGCAAATATCTATACCGCTGGACAAATAAAAACTACAGGTGTCTAGAAAGATAAACAACAGTTGTGCAAATATCTCAAGAGCTGAGGAAGATGCTGAAAGTGGCAGGGCAGTTTCCCCCTCCCCCCCCCCCCTTCTCCCCCCAAATCATGTAATATACCTACACAAAGATTTGTATATATTACTTTACTTACTTTACTTAGTCGCTACTCTTCTACCTTGGGGTGTAGAGGTTTGCCAGAGAGATCGCCAGACGTAATTTATACATATAATCACATTATTTACCTACATATCCATGTCACATAACCTACACAACCATGTTAAATGTCTACACGATGATAAAATCTACTCACACAACCACAGAAATGAATCACACAACCATATTATCTACCTACACAACCATGATATGTAAATACACAATCATATCACCTCACAACCATGTGATTTATCTCCACAAAATTTTAATCCATCTGCACAACCATGTAATCTACCTATACAACCATGTAATCTACCTATACAACCATGTAATCTACCTATACAACCATGTAATCTACCTATGCAACCATGTAATCTACCTATACAACCATGTAATCTTCCTACTTTACCATCTAATCTACCTATACCACTATGTACCTTTTCATTTAACCATCCTACCTATCCAAGTAACCATCCTACCTATCCAAGTAACCATCCTACCTATCCAAGTAACCATCCTACCTATCCAAGTAACCATCCTACCCATTTATGTAATCTAACCACCCAACCATGTCATCGTTCCATTTAACTATGTAATTTTACCACCAAACTATGTAATCGTTCTGACCAACCATGTAATCGTTCAACCCAACCATGTAGTCTCCTACACAACATGTAAACTTCCAATCCAGCCATGTCATCTCTCAAAATGATAAGCTACTTTCATACAAGCCTAATTAATTAAATCTTTCCGAGCTTACACACATACACACCCGCAATTGAGTTATGAGTTAGATTATCTTCACAGCAACCTGGACACACCCATAGGCGCTCAGATTCCCCTCTCAACAGATTCATCAGTGTTTAATAGTACCAGTCCTATGCTGGTCAACAATACTTCATGTGCGTCCGGTGTGCTTCTCATGCTTGGCTGTGCCGATATTTACTCCCAATTTGCGTATTCTTAGCAGTGATGTGGACACGTTGCTTTCAAAATCCTCAGAATGTCCTCTCTCTCTCTAAGGGCAATGACAATGTCTGCGTGATCCATGGGCCGGCCATCTTCAATTAATGCAGCACCTGCCAGTCTATCAGCTCTCTCATTACCAACAACGCCTGCATACCCTCGGACGAATGTGAAAGTAACTGCACACACAGGGGAATTTTGCAATGACTCAAGCCACTGTCTGCGTAACCAGCCTGCCTCGACCCGCCGGATGATACTCGAAGAATCACTCAGCACACACACGAGGGAATAGTCCTGTGATCCCAGCCACATGAAAGCCTGTGTCACCGCCATCACCTCCATCGTCATGCTGCTGGTGGTCATAGAGAAGGCACCGCTGGCTTCCTTAACTGTTCTGTCTGAAGAGCGAGCTGTAAATGCCCATGCACTCTTATGTCCTCAACGTAATGTAATTATATTTGCATGTACATAAACACACTACACATACACAATTATACTTGTGTGCACACACACATACACACTACACATATAAGCCAGTTAAAAAACTGAAGAGATAAGCTTACCGCTCTGTGATACAATACAGGTTGATCAGAGACTCAAAGAAGTGAACTTTTCTCAGCAGTGCCGTCACGGACATGGTTAACTTCACAATCTGCAACAGAGAGTGTTTACAAAAATGGTTACCTTCACAAACTGTAACAGAGAGTGGTTGCCGACATAGTTATCTTCACAATCTACAACAAAGAGTGGTTACAAAAATGGTTACCTTCACAAACTGTAACAGAGAGTGGTTGCTGACATGGTTATCTTCACAATCTACAAACACAGAGTGGTTACAGAAATAGTTAACTTCACAAACTGCAACACAGAGTGGTTGCCGACATGGTTATCTTCTGCAACAGAGAGTGGTTGCCGACATGGTTATCTTCTGCACTAGAGAGTGGTTACTTAAATGGTTATTGTCTGTACTAGAGAGTGGTTGCTGACATGGTTATCTTCTGCACTAGAGAGTGGTTGCTGACATGGTTATTGTCTGTACTAGAGAGTGGTTGCTGACATGGTTATCTTCTGCACTAGAGAGTGGTTGCTTACATGGTTATCTTCTGCACTAGAGAGTGGTTTCTTACATGGTTATCGTCTATACTAGAGAGTGGTTGCCGACATGGTTATCTTCTGCACTAGAGAGTGGTTGCCGGCATGGTTATCTTCTGCACTAGAGAGTGGTTGCCGACATGGTTATCTTCTGCACTAGAGAGTGGTTGCCGACATGGTTATCTTCTGCACTAGAGAGTGGTTGCCGACATGGTTATTGTCTGTACTAGAGAGTGGTTGCCGACATGGTTATCTTCTGCACTAGAGAGTGGTTGCCGACATGGTTATCTTCTGCACTAGAGAGTGGTTGCTTACATGGTTATCTTCTGCACTAGAGAGTGGTTGCCGACATGGTTATCTTCTGCACTAGAGAGTGGTTGCTTACATGGTTATCTTCTGCACTAGAGAGTGGTTGCCGACATGGTTATCGTCTATACTAGAGAGTGGTTGCCGACATGGTTATCTTCTGCACTAGAGAGTGGTTGCCGACATGGTTATCTTCTGCACTAGTGAGTGGTTGCCGACATGGTTATCTTCTGCACTAGAGAGTGGTTGCCGACATGGTTATCTTCTGCACTAGAGAGTGGTTGCCGACATGGTTATCTTCTGCACTAGAGAGTGGTTGCCGACATGGTTATCTTCTGCACTAGAGAGTGGTTGCCGACATGGTTATCTTCTGCACTAGAGAGTGGTTGCCGACATGGTTATCTTCTGCACTAGAGAGTGGTTGCCGACATGGTTATCTTCTGCACTAGAGAGTGGTTGCTTACATGGTTATCTTCTGTACTAGAGAGTGGTTGCCGACATGGTTATCTTCTGCACTAGAGAGTGGTTGCTTACATGGTTATCTTCTGCACTAGAGAGTGGTTGCTTACATGGTTATCTTCTGCACTAGAGAGTGGTTGCTTACATGGTTATCTTCTGCACTAGAGAGTGGTTGCTTACATGGTTATCTTCTGCACTAGAGAGTGGTTGCTTACATGGTTATCTTTCTGCACTAGAGAGTGGTTGCTTACATGGTTATCTTCTGCACTAGAGAGTGGTTGCTTACATGGTTATCTTCTGCACTAGAGAGTGGTTGCTTACATGGTTATCTTCTGCACTAGAGAGTGGTTGCCGACATGGTTATCTTCTGCACTAGAGAGTGGTTGCTTACATGGTTATCTTCTGCACTAGAGAGTGGTTGCCGACATGGTTATTGTCCTTCTGCCTAGAGAGTGGGTTGCCGACATGGTTATTTCTTTTGCACTAGAGAGTGGTTGCCGACATGGTTATTGTCTGTACTAGAGAGTGGTTGCCGACATGGTTATCTTCTGCACTAGAGAGTGGTTGCCGACATGGTTATTGTCTGTACTAGAGAGTGGTTGCCGACATGGTTATCTTCTGCACTAGAGAGTGGTTGCCGACATGGTTATTGTCTGTACTAGAGAGTGGTTGCCGACGTGGTTATCTTCTGCACTAGAGAGTGGTTGCTTACATGGTTATCTTCTGCACTAGAGAGTGGTTGCCGACATGGTTATCTTCTGCACTAGAGAGTGGTTGCTGACATGGTTATTGTCTGTACTAGAGAGTGGTTGCCGACATGGTTATCTTCTGCACTAGAGAGTGGTTGCTTACATGGTTATCTTCTGCACTAGAGAGTGGTTGCCGACATGGTTATCTTCTGCACTAGAGAGTGGTTGCTTACATGGTTATCTTCTGCACTAGAGAGTGGTTGCTTACATGGTTATCCTCTGCACTAGAGAGTGGTTGCTTACATGGTTATCTTCTGCACTAGAGAGTGGTTGCTTACATGTGATCTTCTGCACTAGAGAGTGGTTGCTTACATGGTTATCTTCTGCACTAAGAGTGGTTGCCGACATGGTTATATCTTCAATCTGCAACACTAGAGAGTTTGTTGCAACACAGAGTGGTTATCTTCTGCAAACAGAGAGTGGTTGCCGACATGGTTATCTTCTGCACTAGAGAGTGGTTACTTAAATGGTTATTGTCTGTACTAGAGAGTGGTTGCTGACATGGTTATCTTCTGCACTAGAGAGTGGTTGCTGACATGGTTATTGTCTGCACTAGAGAGTGGTTGCCGACATGGTTATCTTCTGCACTAGAGAGTGGTTGCCGACATGGTTATCTTATGCACTAGAGAGTGGTTGCTTACATGGTTATCTTCTGCACTAGAGAGTGGTTGCCGACATGGTTATCTTCTGCACTAGAGAGTGGTTACTGCAATGATTCTCCTCAGACCTGAGTTGCATGTAGCCATCTCAGGCACACAGACAGATAGTTCAACATCATTTTCAACAGGAAACAACCAACACTATAAACACCGCCCTACTTATCATATATGAAATATTTATTGGTTATAACAACTGTTCTCCTGCAGCAATGCACCAGAGGTATAAACATCTAGGGGCGACCAGAGTGGTCACATACAAGAAACATCAATAGTATTAATGTTACCTTCACAGAATGACCAAACACAGCACTTTCAAATGTAGACACTTCAGGAGCTACCATATACTAACACCTGAGCAGAAACACCTATCTCCCAGCAGGTGCCAACTTTGCCATTTGTACAGAACTGGTTAGTCAGGCTCTTCTGCCCGGGCTGGCTGCTTGATCAAACATCCACTTTCTCTACAGATTAACCCACTTTTCATTCTTCGAGCATCATACGACCCTCCTTTCTCAACATCCAAAACAAGACTGCATCTTCTAATTCGTTCCAAGTTTAAATAACCTGTTTCCCTCTTGGATTCCTGAACACTCCACACACGATTCATGCGTTTTATCATCTGGCGTGCTTGTTTCGAGCTATTTACTACTTGATGCCTACATTATCCTTCGTACTCGATACCATTCAACTGAATTCAAGTATATCATTTATGTTTAATATTTCACCTCAATTACAAATAATGAGAAAATATTTAACAATGGGAAAATGACTCATTACTGTTACAGACGTAGTTAACTTCACAATCTACAATAAAGAGTGGTTACCAACAGGATTAACTTTACAGTCTAAAATATAGAATGGTTACTGATGTAGTTAACTGCACAATCTACAATAGAGAGTGGTTACCAACAGGATTAACTTTACAGTCTAAAATACAGAATGGTTACCGATGTAGTTAACTTCACAATCTACAATAGAGAGGAGAGTGGTTACCAACAGGATTAACTTTACAGTCTAAAATACATCATATGGAAAGAGGGAAGATGTCAACAGGTAAAAAAAAAGGTTAAAAAAGGTAAGATGGAAGATGTCACAAGAAAAATGGAAAGGTGCCAAAAGGAAAAAAGGGAGGTGTCAAAAGGGCTGAGGGAATAAGATATCACAAGGAAAGAAGGAAGGTATCACAAGGAAAGAGGGAAGACATGCCAGGAAAAGAGGCATGATGTAACAAGAACGATAGGAGGTAGTGAGAATCTGCCCAAGCAGACACAAACCTTTGGCTGTAGCAAGCTCCCGATGAGTCTCTGGTATCCAGTCTCATCTTTGTCCTTGACAACAGACTCCGGGTGGATGCCTAGAAACCACTGCAAGCCAGCAGGGAAGTGTGTGGTCTTGGCCAATGATCGCAAGGCCAAATGTTTCACACTGAAAACGATGAACTGACTCTCAAACAGGTCCAGCAGTCTGGACTGGATACCCTTTCGCTGAGAATCAGAACAATGACATCAGCAAGTAATAACTTATATCATAAACATGTTCAACTCACTTTCACAGTAAAGCGGGAATCATGGACAAGAACACAGACATTGACAGCAAGAGTGAGACAGAAAGCCAACACATTGTAGACAACTGTAATGAATTCGAACGTCTTTACAAAAATAAACAGATAAACTTATAAAAATGGAGCAATGATAATCGCATGCAAATTACCATAAATAAAACCAAATTCATGGTAATAACAACTAGGCAAAAGCTACAAACATTAGCTTTACAAAAGCCACTGCTTGAGCTCTTTATTGACGAGCTACCTATTGATAATATAGTTGAAAACAAAAAAATAGGTGTTTTTATCGACAACCATCTCGGAGTTCCCATGTTCATGCCATGACCAAAAAAGTAGCACAAAAAGTGTATCAACTTGGCAAAATTCAGCACTTTCTGGACAAAAATACATGTAAAATTTTACGTATCCTATATCCAAACGCATATTGACTATTGTTCCACAATTTAGAATGGCTGCTCCAAATCTAATGTCAAACGGCTGAGTTCTCTACAAAATAGGGCCTTACACATAGTCTCTGATAGAAACTACGTTGAGAAAAATCTTTACACCAGACATCTAAGATTTCCGCCATTTAGTAAATTTTAATTTTTTAAAAGGCCAAAAACGATTCACAAAATCCTATCTGAAGATATTCCAAATTACATCGACCAATTGGTTCAATCTAATCCTATGATAGCAAGCGACTAAGTTTATTACATTTGCCTAAACCTAGAACTAATTAATTTAAAACAAGTTTAGCATATTCTGCTGCTCATTTATGGAACAATCTTACACTCGATCTGAAAACTATTCCCTACTCCCTATGAGTCCCTACTCATTTAAC